CCAGCTACTCGGGAGGGCTTGAGGCAGGAGGAGTTGCTTGAGCCCTGGAGTTGGAGGTTGCTGTGAGCTACGGCTGACACCATGGCCCTTCTGGCCCGGGGCAACCAAAGTGAGGACTCTGTCTCAAAAAAAAAAAAAAAAAAAGAAAAAGGAAACTGGACTCGAAGCCAAAACGATTGATGGATAACAACACCAATTTTTTTCTCTTCATATGTTCCGTAACACCAACAACCATTGAAACAAAGTAATATTTACTCCAGACTTTCTGTAAGTTCGTTTTGTAAGGTCATTTCCAGAAACCTATCAAGGGGAGGGGACGCTTGAAGCTTACTGGGTAAGAATGCAGCCAGGATTCTACTAGGGGCAGGCACCCCAAACGGCCTGGTTTCTTGCTGGCCTCAAGAGGGTTTCTTGGGTTGCTTTGGCCGAACAGGCCTGGACTCAGTTGAACAAATCCTGCTCCTAGAACATTCCTACCCAAATTGCTCAAAGGAACTTTTCATGTCTTAAAAAAGTTTTTGTTTTTTTAAATTAGATAGAGTTCTCCACTCTGTTGGCCGGGCTTAGGGAGTTGCCATGGGTCACGCCTCGCTCACAGGCAACCTCCAATCCTGGGCTCAAGCGAATCCTTCGCTCAGCCTCCCGAGTAGGCTGGGGAATTTACAGGCCACACGCCACCATTGCCTGGCTAATTTTTTCTATATCATATTAGTTGGCAATTAATTTGTTTTCTATTTATGTAGGAGACGGGTTCTCGCTCTTGCTTCAGGCTGGTCTCGAAATCCTGACTTGAGTTGATTTCCCGGCCTCGGCCTCCCAAGTGCTGGATGTGACAGGCGTGAGCCACCAGCGCCCGGCCCAAGCTTTCCTGGAAGATAGTTAGAGGCTCCTGGTTAAGTATCGAATGAGACCTTATTAAAGTTTGCCTTTGCGTCCCACTGCCACCCCTCCCAGATCCATTTTCCTTTCTTCCTATCAGTAACAAGAACCCTAAATTTGTTAGGTATTTGCACAATGGCACCCAGAACAAAGACTACATCTCCCAGCGTCCTTTGCACACTAGATGTTACACCCCTGACTTGGGCGCTAGCAATGGAACCATTGTGAGTGCATTCACCTTCCTCCCAAAACTTCAGCTCTTAAAGAGATAGGGTGGTTACTTCCTTTTTTTTTTTTTTTTTTTTTTTTATTCTCCTGTAGCCATTTGCTGTTTACTCCTGGAGAGCTGGAAGCCATTTCCTGGGACCAACTCCAAGAAGCAACCAACTTGAGGCATGTGGAGCAATAACAGACTGAGGCTGCTTGTTATACCAGCTTGACTGCCCAAGATTTATAGTGAGGGGGAGATTAACATCCATCTACTTATTAAAGCATTGTTATTATGTATTAACATCACACTTCGCTAAACTAAGATAACTACGGACAATTAAATGGCATTGTTTATTTTTTTTATTTGTATTTTAATTTTTTATTTCAGCATATTTATGGGGGTATAAATTTTAAGGTTCAAAATAACCTGCCTTTTATTATTTATAAAACACTTCTCACTTGTCAAGGGCTAAAACCTACACGATAACTAGAATTATAACGGCATTGTTTTTTTTTTTTTTTATTCTTTTTTACTTTTTTTTTTTTTTTTTTTTTTTTTTGAAGGACAAGAGTCTCACTTTGTTGGCCCAGGGCTAGAGTGATGTGCCGTGGCGGTCAGCCTCGCCACAGCAACCCTCCAACTCCTGGCTTTCAAAGCGATACCTCCTGCCCTCAGCCTCCCGGAAGTAGCTGGGGACTACAGGCATGCGCCACCATGGCCCGGGCTAATTTTATATTATTAATCAGTTGGCCAATTTAGTTTCTTTTCTATTATATAGTAGAGGACGGGTCTTCGCTTCTCTCAGGCTGGTTTATTGAACTCCTTGACCTTGGAGCAATCCGCCCGCCTCGGCCTCCCAAGAGAGGCTTAGATTAACAGGGCGTGAGGCCCCGGCCCCAGCCTTTTTTACTTTTTTATTCGGCATATTATGGGGGTACCAAATTTTAAGTTTCAAATAATTGCCTTGCCCCCTCCTCCTCCCACAAGTCTAAGCTTATAAATGGTATTTGGTTAAACAGTTGATTTTTTTTTCTCTAATTTTAAAAAAAAACCAACAGTGATAGTATTTCTGAAAAAAACTTCTTACCAAGGGAAGCTCAGTCAAATCCTCCCTTGTTCTAGCAAATGCAGACTTAACCCTATTGCAAACTGGACCGGCATCTTCTTCTTCCTGGTTTAAAAAAAAATAAAAATACGTGTTTACATTCTGAGTATAGCGTTTTTAATACCTTAAAACGTCTTATAAATCATTTTAACATTTGTTTTACAATTTATAAGATCACCATTCAGCTCAAATACTTTTAGTACTTCCTAGTCAATTCCAAAGCAAAATTCTCATTTTTGTAATAAGAAAATGCACTGCTGTATTTAACTAATATTAATTTTTTTATTTCCTTTTTTTTATTTTGTATATCATTTTGTTTGTTCATATGCTACGGCAGAATGTATTTAATTTTTTTTATCCACAAAGCACGTTTTATTACACTCTTTATTCGTCTTATCCAAGTAAACAACTTATATCATATCTACGGTTCATAAACCAACAAAAGAATTGTAAAAACTCTTAGGGAAAAGGTCTCTGGATGGAAAATTGGCCTGACTGGAAGAGAGCTAATCACAGTATTAAAAACTGGTGAACTCAATTTGGCTGAGAAAGCAAACAGGCACGATGACGGAGAAGGGAGCACCCAGGGTTTCGGGAAAAGGGTTTCGTTGGCCTCTGGCTTGATTAGATAAAGTGCCCAGACCGGCACGGTTCGCTATCTAAGGCGCACCTCTCTGGTCATGGGGGGCATGTACCACACGGTCGCACACAATTGGCCCAGCTGGTCATCATTCGGGAGCAGGTATGCTCACCATTGTTGTATTTGCTCTGTCCAAAAAGCGTCTCCAAAAAACTGGGGGGTTAATACTGGGAACAAAGAACACAAAACACACCTACGTGTTCCCGAAAATAAAGACAGACGGTCTTGTATTTTATTCTTTCTCAAGAAAGACCCACCCCTAAGGGCCTAATTTTCGGGGGAGAAACACGGTAGTCTTAGAGCTAAACGGTGGCTTCTCATCCGGTGTCAATGTTTTAAGGGGCGCAGGCAAGTATCTTTATCAGACTCTATAGAAAAAGAGAAGCCGTTTTGCTTGAAT